AGTTTAACCCTCTTACGATTCAATTATTTCAATAATATCTTATTTTTCGTTTTTCGATATTTAATAAATATTACATATTTATTGTCCTTCATGAAATTTGTGTTATTAATTTTCAATTAATTATATTTACATTAACCTAGATTCAATAAATTTTTACTTGATGAATCTTGAATTAAATGAATCTAGAATTATTATAGATGAATTTATTCATAATCATGTATCTAGAAATTTTAACGGGTATTTAAATTTATGTATTAACAATTAATTTTTATGTATAAAATGTAATATAAAAAGATTGCTCATTTATAGTATTTCATGATTACAAAAGATTTGAATCATAGAAATTGAGTTTTGAAAGTATAATGTGAGCACAATTTTCTTCTCTTGAATTTCTATACTAAATTTTATTTTCTTAAATTCGTCTGAGACTCATCAAATTCGCTAACAAATTGGTAACAAATATTACTTTTACATCACTTATAAAATGTTTTAGAACACGTTCAACTTTGACTAGTAATTCTAAAAGTGCCATTCAAATTCCTAATTTGACCATGTTGCACGTTCAACTTTGACTAGTAATTCTAAAAGTGCCATTCAAATTCCTAATTTGACCATAAATATTTACAAATAAAACTATTAGAAACTGATGAAAATGCAAACCTCACGAGCCATTAACCGTCGAACATTCTCAGCATAAAGCTTCGGATCGTCCTTTTCTTGTTGTGATGGACAATATACAGGTAATTGTGTCACTTCCATGTAATTTACAAACTGACACAGAAGAAGCAATACATGGCGCGCCTGGACAACATGTATGTTAACATGACCCAGTTAAAAAGATTAGATTAGTCATGACTCCTGAGACCCAGAAAGAAAAGTAGGATCCCTTTAGAACAGTAAGAATTCACTACAATCAAGCATCCACAGTTACAAGAAGTACTACGAAACTGATGGAACTCCAAGAGATTGGAAGTTCATCCCAACTAAAATATTAGAACATTGAAAATAAGAAGATTACAAAATAAAAACTCACCCCTGAAATAGAGTCCCATGCAGGGCTAAATCTCTGGTATGGATATCTTAAAATGACAGGAAGCACTGGAGCCTTGGCTAAAAATGCACCAGTCTTAAATGGAAGGATGTAGTCTCCATTTGTGGTCGTCCCTTCTGTAAGTGGAGAAGAATTTAAACAAATGGAACTGTTAGGTATCTACAGACTCTGAACTTCCCTGAGCAGTTTGCACAGTATTTAATGGTAAAAAAAGCGACATAGTATTCATCACTAATAAAAATTCTACCAAAAGTTGCTTAGATAAAGTATATCCAAATTTATTCAGTAAGGCAAAACTTAGAGGCAGCAAACGAAATTTGCTTTGCT